CTTCCTTTGGAAAAAGTATATTCTATAATTGAAGTACACTTGAATTAGACATTTTTTTCATTGTCCGTAAAAAAACTCGAATGGTTATTAATTTACAACCGAATAATTTTGGAGAGGGTTTCCGTAAAACCTCCTTTGCATTAAAAACATCCTAGCGATCCAGCGCGTTCAGGTGACCTGTGTACAGACAATTTTTTATGTCTCTCCCTATTTTACTTTTTGGAATAAAATTTAAATTGTTGTGCTGTAGCAATGAAACTGGATGAAACTAACCTGCAGACCCGAAAAATCCCCCCTTATGTAAATTAATACTGGTTTACTCGCCCAAAGATTAATTCAGTCAAAAATTGAAGTCACAATCCACGCTTGCAATCTTTTGAAATATCTGCTTTTCTTATTAAGTCATAATCAAGGTCAAAAATTGAAGTCAGCATGCTAATTTGAAGGCTTTTAATTTTTAAAATCTGTTTTCGTTTATAATACGGTTTTTCACTTATAACTTTTCACGTACTGAAGAGATCTTAATGTATATCCGCAGTTCTTTTATATTTTGACTTGTAGAATCCAAATCACTCAGAAAATTGAACATAGTACCCTTCTAATAAAAATTAAAGCTCTTGTTGTGTATTTTTTTCGTTATAATACGGTTTTTCACTTATAACTTTTCACGTACTGAAGAGATCTTAATGTATATCCGCAGTTCTTTTATATTTTGACTTGTAGAATCCAAATCACCAGAAAATTGAACATAGTACCCTTCTAATGAAAATTAAAGCTCTTTTTGTGTATTTTTTTCGTTATAATACGGTTTTTCACTTATAACTTTTCACGTACTGAATAGATCTTAATGTATATCCGCAATTCTTTTAAATTTGGACTTGTAGAATCCAAATCACCCAGAAAATTGATCATATTACGCTTCTAATAAAAATTAAAGCTATTTTTGTGTATTTTTTCGTTATAATACGGTTTTTCACATATAACTTTTCACGTACACTGAATAGTTCTTAATGTATATCCGCAATTCTTTTAAATTTGGACTTGTAGAATCCAAATCTCCCAGAAAATTGAATATAGTACCCTTCTAATAAAAATTAAAGCTCTTTTTGTGTATTTTTTTGTTATAATACGGTTTTTCACTTATAACTTTTCACGTACACTGAATAGTTCTTAATGTATATCCGCAATTGTTTTATATTTTGACTTGTAGAATCCAAATCACCCAGAAAATTGAACATAGTACCCTTCTAATAAAAATGAAAGCTTTTTTTGTGTATTTATATTATAAAAGAAAAAGAAAGATGGGCCAGTGGAAATTGCCCTTCACTTTGCAACGTAGAAAATAAAATTTTCCATAGTACGAATTTAATGTAAAACGAATTTTCCTGGATGGGGAAATCTTTCTTGTGGCCAAATATTCGAAGCTTTCCTGAGTATATTCTAGCGCGAATTTTTTATCTCAAATCTGTAGTCTAGCTAGTGATGTAAGTCTAAAATACTAAGCTCCGGAAGTAGTGTTTCATTGGTTCCTGAAGCCCCCGAATGTTAATAAATTAATTTAAGTTCCTCAGTTGCACAGTTTTGTATAGTCTTTGAATATAATTGTATTCAAAGGTATAGTGTATATTGATGAATGATGATAATCCGATCAAAAATCAGGTGGTCATACAGGGTATGAAGCTCGATATCGCACTCTCTATCCACATTACCCAACCCCACAATTTTTATTTTTGGTTTAAACAAATTATCATCGTTACCGCGCTAGTTTCGGAATGTAGGTACTGGTTTACTGGACCAGCTAATGAGACAGGAGCGATTATGAGAAGTTATATTTTGTCAAATAACAATATGCAGCTTCTCCCTTATTAATTATGACTTTGTAAGCCCCTCTTTTGTTTAAAATTAAAATCTGGCATACATTCAGGCCACTATTTAAGTTAATTATCTAAATTGCAGTCACACTTTGCACTATTTATTTTTAAAGACCACATGGCTGTTGCTTTCATGTTATTATTAGTCCCTTCTCTTAATAGGACTAATGACGTCAAATATGTAGGTAAAAACCACTCGCATCTTTTCTAAACGTGCTAATTATAATTCCATTTTTACCTCAAACGTAAAAATTTGCCGTTTGCCGCAAGGTGTCGTTTCGCTCAATACCAATTGTGGCTTTTCATGAATAATGGAGGAATATGGAAAAGCCTAACATTTTTAGGTGCATTTGTTATTAGGTATGTCACGCAACTCGGTTACATATATCGATTTTGATACCCATTAAAACGTGCTCAAGTTGTTCGCCACACCTTTTCCCCGTTTCGTGATGCTATTATATTTTGCGTTGTTTGTTCTTGTTACAACGCTTCGTTTAGTTTGTTTACTAATTTAATTTTAGCGCTCGTAATATATAATATTGTGGAGGATTACGGGTTAAGTTATCTTTCGGAGGATTAGGGATATAAATGAAGATAAACGTTGAGCCGGATATTGAACAAAAAAGTGTATATTGTGCATCAAACTGGACAAATTTAGGGAATTAGGGTTTTTCTCGTACGACTTTTATTGCCTCGTATTTTTAGCAACCCTGTACGTGATCCTTTTGTTCACATTTCATTAATTAGTAATAGCGTTAGTCGGGTAGATAGTACATTCTACCATAAAGACTGACTTTAAAAATCAAAGTATCTCCAATACGGCATAAAAAGTGTATTTTTATACACCCCGAGCCGCAAACCATATAATGACACCGATGTCTCGCACCTCAGACAGGTTTTGCGGCACTTATTGTTTATATTCGTTACTGTAGGTATAATAAATCTTTAATGACCAATGTGGATTTTTGTTACCAGAGCTGGGCAGAATACTAAAAAAGGAAGTTCAAAAGTTACAGCCCTTTGAATTTTTTTTGGAAATTGGTTTCTACTTTATAACTTTGATTGAGAAGTCTGATCGAAAAAGTACGAATTGATTTGGATTCTACGCACCCAAATTAATAAGAAAAAGTGTTTTCCCGAGAAATTTTGGTGTAGTCGATTTTTGGTAAAAAGGAAGGTTATACACTGCCTTTTGTTGAGCCCAGAAAAAGAAATTGTCTCAAATCGACCAGGAAAAAAAATTTTCTTATAGAATGTGGGCTGTAGAATCCATAATTTCAAACAGTTCCAAGATTGGGCTACTAGTTCAAAAGTTACAGCCCTTTGAATTTTTTTTTCGAAATTGGTTTCTAGTCTATAACTTTTGATTGAGAAGTCTGATCGAAAAAGTACGAATTGATTTGGATTCTACGCACCCAAATTAATAAAAAAAAGTGTTTTCCCGAGAAATTTTGGTGTAGTCGATTTTTGGTAAAAAAGGAAGGTTATACACTGCCTTTTTTTGAGCCACGAAAAAAAAATTGTCTCAGATCGACCCGGAAAAAAATTTTCTTATAGAATGTGGCCTGTAGAATCCATAATTTCAAACAGTTCCAAGATTGGGCTACTAGTTCAAAAGTTACAGGCCTTTGAATTTTTTTTCGAAATTGGTTTCTAGTCTATAACTTTTGATTGAGAAGTCTGATCGAAAAAGTACGAATTGATTTGGATTCTACGCACCCAAATTAATAAGAAAATGTGTTTTCCCGAGAAATTTTGGTGTAGGCCATTTTGGTAAAAAAGGAAGGTTATACACTGCTTTTTTTGAGCCCAAAAAAAAATTGTCTCAAATCGACCCGCTAACGGTAAAGTTCAGATGAACATAAAATCTATGGCAGCGATTATTAAGACAATCGTTGCTATGGCATTTAAGTTTTACTTAATTTTAAGCGATACTTAATTTTGACGGTGCAATTGTCCATTAGAATCTTACGAGATTTTTAGTTGTGGCGAATGCAGGACGTACCCTGAAAAATCTACAACCATTTCGTATATAAGATTTTGTGCTTGGGGGTGGTTTAGTGACCGTTTGCATATAGCAACATATTTGTGAGGTTTAGTAGAAAAATTGTATGCTTCAGTGTTCAAGTTTTACATCACCCATATCACCCACATTCAAACCGCCACGCCACCAAAATTACGAAAATATTGCAGTTTGTGCGCCATTTACGCAGAACACTTGTAAATACTGGAGCTGTTTGACAGTTAAGAATTATTGCGTTTCGTCACCGTTTTGATGGCTAGGTCGATTAAATAAGACTGTCCCCTCGTAGAAGCAGGTTTACTTAGGGGAACATTCCAGACGAATAAAGCATTGCTTGCATGATTATGGGAACAAAAATTTTATAGATTTTTAATTTAAAAAATCTAAACGCACTTCCCAACAATGTCAAGGAAAAGAAAAACACCGCCAAAGTGCTTTTTAAAGTGAAATTTCTATTTGCCATTAAACCTTTATTTTAGTTTTACGACCACTGTTGCGAAGTAATTTCGTACCAATTTACTCCAGTACGGATCACTTTTCGAACTGATTTGAAGTAACATTGCGAAAATGATTAGTTTTGGTGGAAGCCCCAGAAAATTAATAGCTGCTTAAATTATTCGCTTTCCAGGTACCTTTAATTTCATTTCTTCAAAACCTGATTAAGGTCAAGTTGAAGCTACTAAATTGCTAAGTTAGTTTGTGTGTCGATTCTCGATTGACAAGAGGCCTTCCTCCCAAAAGAGGGCGCCGCGTCGTCCTTTCAGTTCTCACACTTATACGAAAACTTTTCCAAATGGCTAAAGTTTTTATGTGGAATAGAGGGGTTAAATAAAGTGATATTACGACCACTAAACGGTGTAGGTAGTTTTAACTAATTTGCTAGGATAGCTCTATTCCAACCCTGTTGTGATATTACAAATCTGTTACCCTGCAAGAATATCTCATATGCAAAACCCTCGAATAATTAAAAATATAAAAGGGAAGGTGAAATATTAGAATCACTTAATCCGTCTTATCGGTCACGTACTCGAAAAAGTGCGTGCAGCTTTTATCGGTAGGTAAAATAAGCCACTTAAAAATTTCCGAATAATGCAAATTCAGCTTACCTCCTCGCCTTTGTTGTTCCTATACCGAATCCACTTTGACAATCTCGGCCGAAAGTACTCCACCATGTACGCCTCCGCATATTCAACGCCCTGACCGTTCCCGAAACGTCCCTGCGTGCCCGTAGCGGTAATCATGTGAATCGTCTTCAAATCAACCTGCAGCCACTCTTCGGGTTCCGTTGTTGCCTGCTTAGAAGGACACCAAGCGCCTCCGTTCTTTTCCGTGCGCACCCTAAATTCAAGCAAATTTATTTATTTAGGGAAAAAAATTAAACGAAAAAGTTATACTTCCGCGATCTGAATACGTACATCTCAATTTAAACTTTTCTACATGCGACGAGACTTTCAAACGTTGTCGCTTTGTGCCACATCGGAATTTAAGATATAAAAGTGTAGGCGTCTCCACTCTAATAGTCACTTATAAATCATAATTGAATCAAACACTAATCCATTTGTATCCTTCTCCTTCCTACATCAAAAAAAGTTTAAATTAAAACCGGATTACACAAGCAAGGAAGGAAGGAATCGGCGTCTCTCAATTCTTATACGCTCTTTCCATCTCGTATATAATTTTGTCGTATTAGAAGTTATTGAACTGTAGATCTATTGAATTCAAGACTATTGTTGAGTTGTGATTCAACAGCACAAGTCTACCCTAATATAGTCAGACTCCCTCAACTACGTATTTATATTCAGAGTGCATTCTTTCACTTAAGAGAAAAATGTTGTGAAAATCATTGTCGGTGCGCTGTTAAACAAGAGGAACTGTAAAGGTATGCAAATTTTTATGTAAACGATCTAGACGAAAATTATAATTTGCGTATTTCGCGACTGCTATGTAAAAAAATGTCGGAAGGAGCCACCTGCACTAAACACATTTTAATTTTAAGAATAGGACAATAAGTACAATGCTAATTTTATCATGTCTTTCTAACTAATATTTGTATTATTTTATGTGTACAAAAACGCCACGGAAATTCACCTCCGGAAAATTCGACACAAAAAAGTTTCACAGATCCCATTGTAACCTTCACTTTTCTTTTGTGAAATGCCTCCTATTACTAATCTTGCGTTCAGATTTTCTCTAAATCATCTATGTACATCTACTTTTCCAGTCTCCAAGTTTCGTTTTCTTAAGATAGCTCCTTTCCAGTGTTGCCTCTGATCCTTTTCCACGCTCAACCAACCAGATATGAATCAACTACCTTTCAGTACAACTCCAACAACAGGCAGCTCACATTAACAATCTTTAAACCGTCACTTTCTAACAGCATATCGCATGAAAACGTTTTCTGAAACTCCAGTTGACAATATACCTAAGTGGATAATGGTATGAACTCTGACCAATTGGCTTTTTTCCCTCCCGAATCGTCATCGCACTAATTTAGCAGAATAACTTACAATACAAATCGCCGTTTCAGGAATTTTGCGTGTTTTAGGGTAGCTTTTGGTAGATTTTCAAATAAGTCACTAAAGAATGAGATCGAGTAATTTTTCTTAGTAGGATATCTAAGACAATTTTATTAAGAGTATCAAGATTCAATGGTACTTAATTTGTCTAACCTTTCCGCATCTAGTACTTCGATCTACCCTTTTAACATCAAACCCATTTATTTTATTGAAGCTAAAGCTAAACGCCACAATGCGAGCTTTATACAATTCGGCGCCAAACAACTGTAGGCATTATTATTATATTGCGGGGGATTACATTCTGAATATAACTTATTTATATGCTAGCCATCAGTGGCGACTTTTTTTTTTATTAAAACGAAGAGCAAAACGTTTATTATTTTCAAATGAATTTTTTCCAACGGCCATATATGAGTTCGTATTGATAAAAAGTGAATGGAGAGGATAAAGCATTCAAAATAAGTAAATATTTAGTTCGGAATGTGTTTGCCTGTTCAAATATTCAGAGTTTCCTTGCTGAAAGGATCAATGAATAATGGATAGAAATTCTCTAGGGGCTATTCTTAAAGTACTTCTGGGAGAAAACTTCACCACTGCACTTTTACAACAACACTTTCTTTTCTTAGTACAGTGGAAACGAAAATTCTTCAATGTACAAAGTGATCAATTGGTTTTTACCTCCATCACTTTTGTGTTTGATAATATTCTCAAAGCTCGTGGCCGAACTTTACTTATAGTTATAACAAAAGAAAGTTGAGACAGATGTAAGCAAAACAACTCAACCCGGAAAATACAAAGTAAACCATACATCAATCATCAGAAATAGACAATTTCCGACTGAGATACGAATGGATTAAGTTAAAGTAATCGAGTATTTAGTTATTAATCTTAATGCATGCTATAAAAAGAACTCTACACTTTCAAATTCAATTTACAACCGAGAACTGTAGAAAAGGTTATCGTTTTCGATGACAAAAGTGAACGATATTATTGTTATCTTGATTGATAGTTACTGTTCCATTTGCACCAATTTCAATACTTTAGTAGCTTCACAGTGTGGTTAATGAATATTCAAAAACAATAGAGAGGTTCGCCCTTGTATAAATTGCTAAAACAATCAAGGTCGTTTTTCTTAAATTGGAGTTTAATTACAGCGCTTTTGAGTTGGAAAAGCGGTTATAAAAATGAAATCTTTTTATAAAGGATTGGAAATCTGATGGTTGCGTAATTTTCGTTCAACAAATAATAGAGACAATGTCTAATTGTGCTTTTCTGGTGTTCTTATAATTTATTTTTGTTGTTTATAAATGAGACTATTTCTTTCTAACAAAATCTCTAGACCTTAGACTTATAGTTATAGTTATATGTAATTATAATTATAGGACATACATGGTGTAATTTAAAGCTGTAGCGCCTACAGTTTTTGTCCGAATTCAATTTTTTTGAAATAGTTTAAATGACATGATTATGTTGTTTTATTTGAATTTGATAATATTAGTTCCTTTAAATTCAATGATTAATATCAAAGGTACTTTTCATTGGAGTTTTTCACAATTTTGTAGCATGCCATGGAAACTATCCTCTTTACGCATTGCGTGGAATAGAAATCGCGTGAAAACAGAATGACTAGAGAAATGTTATAAATAACCACAATTAAAATACTGTTAATTCTACAGAAATTGCCATCGTACTGTTCCGTGAGTACCTATCCACCTTGCAGGAAAATGGTGGGGTAACCAATTTACTTTTGACAGAGCAGTATGTGGTGCGGCCCCGTCTTGTTGAAAATGCAACCCATGTAATTCTGCAAGAAGCAATTCTTTCAAAAAATCGCGAAGATTTTCCGTTGTTGATTGATAGTACATAAAAAATGGTCCGATTAAGTATAAAATTTATCACGATTTCTATTCCGGTCGATGCGTAAAGAGGATTATTTCCATCTTCTTTAATTTTGTGAGTGAAAAACTCCAATCAAAAGTAACTTTGATATTAATCATTGAATTTAGGGGGCAAATTCTATCACATTCAATTTAAAAAACACAATCATGGAATTTAAAATATTTAAGTCAACTATTAGCAGCCCCCGAAAATAATAATTTTAAACGTGTTAATTATAGTCGTTTTGCATTACACCCTGTATATATTTTATGAGGCTGACTACTTTTGAGTTGTCAATTTCAAACATTACAAAAAATATAGGGTGTTCCTTTTGAAAAATCCCACTTTTTTTTAACTTGCCCAAATTCGTATGTCTCTGACTACGGTCTTTAATTACTTTGCGATTACTGTGCATTTTGATGACTTGTTCTTAAAGTGTATAATTCTGAGTAAATGTAGGTAGAGTCCACAGTTATACCTAGTAATTTCACAGGATTACTTTCAGTAACCTGGTTTGTGGAAAAAATTAGTTCCTGAGTTTTTGTTTCCTTCAAAATTAAGTCACTGCTGCAAAACCAATGTTTAACTCTTTTTTCAATTTTAAGCAAATTGTGTTGGGCAATTTCTACATTATTAATTTGCTGTTGATACAATACTACTGTCAGCAACGTATAAAATCGGGCGTGTGTTGACTATGGAACGCCGTTTTAGTATTTATACCAACATTTTATCATGTATCATTTTAAATAACAGTCAATCTTATGTCTCTAAATTTTTCGTTTGTTGTTTTTATCTTACGTATTAAGAGATTGATTAAAAAAATGTTGATTAATAAAGATGATACATGAATTAAAATGTTTGTTGATAATTTTAAATAGGCGCTAGTATACACGTAGTCAAATAGACTAAACTGTAGTTCCTGAAACTTCCGCACAATCAGAGATACGAATTAAAATTATCAACAATCATTTTAATTAATGTAACATTTTAATTCAACAATCACTTTAAATAATTCTTGCCGATTTTAACAGCATGAATTCATATGATTGTTGAATTAAAATGTTCTCTGAAAATATTTGTACAATTTTATTCCAAAATTTTACAATGTGCCATTTTAAATAACAGTCAATCGTATGCCTCTACTTTTTACGTTTGTTGTTATTGTCTTACGTATTAAATATGATTGTTTAAAAAAATGTTACTTAATAAAAATGTGAAATGAATTATATTGTTATATTGAATGAGTGTATATGAAACTGTATTTCAACAAACAATTAATAACAAACAATTAAATTGAATTGCAAGAAATACTTCGATTAATAAAACGATTTTGTCCAACAAACATAAAAATTCATTCATTTTAAATGTGGAATTAAAATGATCAACAAACATTTTAATTCATCAGTCATATAAATTCGACGATTTGAAAATTGAAGCCGAATATTTTCAACAATCACTTTAATTCAACAAACAAATAAATTTTTATTGTTAGACGTAGTAAAAGAATCTTTAAAAATGATTGTTGAATTAATATGATTTTTGAATTAAAATGTTACATCATGAATTAAAATGTTTGTTGATAATTTTAATTAGGCGCTAGTATACACGTACCCAAATACACTAAAGGATAGTTCCTGAAACTTCCGCACAATCACAGATACGAATTAAAATTATCAACAAACATTTTAATTCATGTAACATTTTAATTCAACAATCATTTTAAATAATGCTTTCCGATTTTAACAGCACGAATTAATATGATTGTTGAATTAAAATGATTGTTGGGAATATTTGTACAACACTTCAATAATTGAATTAATATGATTGTTGAATTAAAATGTTTGTTCATAATTTTAATCCCACATTTAATATGAATAAATTTTTATGTTTGTTGAATTAGTTCTAGTTAGTTATATTACTGTTCGTTTATGTATTCGTTTGTTG